ATAACGGGGTTTGCTGAGTGTTCGTCACGGTGCCGGCTGACCCCGGTTCCCTGCCCAGCACTGCAGAGGGGGACGTCCAGGTTGCCTGGGGAGAAGTTAGATTCCCCTCCCTGCATCGTGTCTTACGTCACGTGCTCCCTTGAGGTTGCACCAGTCCACGAGACCCGCCCACCGCAGACCCTCCTCCTCACCTGCTTCCATGGCCAGCACCGTGATGTTGTGCCACCCTGCCGTCTCCCGGTCCAGGGCCTGGCCTGTCACGATGGCACCTGTGTCAGCATCAACGTCAAAGATCCTCTCCAGGTCGGTGCTGCGATCGATGGCGTACCTGGGCACCAGGCAGGAGAGAGCCATGAGTACGGGGAGGGGCTCACACCTATCTAAGTTATATTTGCCTAGTTTATCAATAAGAATATCATGTGAGACCGTATGCAAATGAAGCCCGGGAAATTCAAATCCCAGGCTTCATTTGCAAGTTCGTATGACTACATTAACCACCCTAGTGCGAACTAGGGGGCTAGTGTAGACAGACCCCCCAGCCTCCCCTCGTCCGTCATGTGCTCCAGTCTACAAAAGATACCTAGCAGCTGACATTACAGTTCAGGGCCCTTCTTCTCATGCTGCTCTAGCTCTTTTACAATTACCAGCTCTTTTAGCAACCTCTGGTTCCTCCATTTCTCTAGTTTTGTAAGAGACTTTATGCTAGCTCTACACAAAACTTCTGGGTTCCTGATTACAATGACAAGCTGCTGTCCTGGCAATGTAGCCAGATTATCTGGCAGATAGCAAAAAGGAGATCTGCAGCAAAATCACCATCATGTTTAGGTTGAGGACTAGTGCAAACTGTTTTATGTTCTGCTTCTTCATCAGAAGAGCTGGAGAAATCTCCGTCCCAAGGCAGGACTCTGCACTTGTCCTTGTTGAACCTCAGCAGGTTTCATGTGGCCCAACCCTCCAGTGTGTCCAGGTCACTTTGGACCCTATCGCTGCCCTCCAGTGTATCTACCTCTCCCCCTAGCTTAGGGTATGTCTACATTTCATTCATCTTCCGAGAGAGGAATGCGAATTCAGACACCCGAAATTGCAAATGCAGGGGAGGGTATGTGGAGAAGCTGGGACCAGCAGTGTAAACGCCTTGCATGGGAAAAGCAGGGACAGGGGAAGGTCTGTTCTGACCGAAATGCCTCAGCTCAGCCCGTTCTGAGCACCATGGGAGCGTAGGACGGGACCGGACCAGACCCAGCCCAGTCCCCGGCGATGGTGGCAGGACTAAGTAGCACAAAGACCCCTCCTGGCAGGGCTCTGTCCGACCTGCTCTTGAAAGCCGCCAGGGACGGCGATTCCACAACCTCCCCAGGCAACTTCTTTAGTGTCATCCACACACTTGCTGAGGGTGCAATTCATCCCCTCAGCCAGGGCGTTAGTAAAGATGTTGAACAAAACCGGCCCGTACGCCCCTTGCTTCCTGTCCTACCCTCAGGGGGCAGGAGAACCATTTATCACCCTCCTGCTTCTAAGTCTCTGAGCTAGGCGAGGACCGTTACCACGTCCCCTCCAGCCTTCTCTTGCCCAGATTAAACAAACCCAGGGTTTTCCATCTCGTCATGTTGACTAGACTTAAAGCTCTTCTCTGACCTTTCAACCAGTGTCTCCACGTCACTCCTGAAACATGCCACCCAGAACTGGACACAATCCTCCAGCTGAGGCCCAACCAGCGCGGAGCAGAGAGAACGACTTTGCGTCTTGCTCACGCCCCCCAGCTAACACAGCTCACAATGGTGTTTGCTTTTTTGCACGTGTCCCACTTGGCTCATGATGCACGACAGCCCCCAGACCCCCTCTGCAGTGCCCCTCGTAGGGGGTCCTTTCCATCCCGGGCGTGCAGCTGCACTTCTGTCCTCACTGAACTTCGGGCTGGTTTTTAAACCATTTCTCCAGCTTGTCAAGACAAGTTTGAATGCTAACCCTGTTCTCCAACGCGCTCACCTCCCCCCAACCCGGCCGGGTGTCACCCACCAACTTGTGAGCGAGCTCTCTCGGCCTTTACTCAAACCATTTCTAAAGATACTGGGTGCAGCTGGACCCGGGACAGGTCCCCGGGGCGCCCCTCGCTGTGCCCTTCCAGTTGGATCGCGACCGCGACCGCGACCCTCTGAACGCGCTGGTCCGGCCAGTCCCGCACCCGCCTCGCAGTAGCTCCGTCTCGGCGGGATTGCCTCGTGCGTTGGCGACACGGTCGTGCGGCACTAACACAAGGCTCGTGAGAGTCGAGCGAGATCACGTCTCCTGCCCCTCCCCCGACAAGGCTTCTTGCCCTATTCAGCTGGTTCGACATGCTTTTGTTCCTGACAAGTCCATGCCGACTGCTCCTTATCAAGGTATTTCTTCTGGGTGCTTGCAAACTGATTGGTTGATTATTTGCTCCATTGTCTTCTAGGTACAGAAGTTAAGCTGCCTGCTCTGTAATCCGCTAGCTTGTCCTTCCCTCTCCTACAGCTCGGGATTAAAACTGCCCTTGTCCAGTGCGCTGGTGCCTGTGCAGCCCTCCGCCAGGTCCCACCGCCAGCCGCCCAGCGCTCAGAGACCCCTGGGGATGCCAGGCGAGAACGGCGCCACGAGTACCTCCCCGACCCGCACAGCTGCGCAGGCAGGGCCCCGGTTATCAGCTCCTCTAAGGCCGACGCACGGGGCAGCCACAGAGCGGGGGGGCGCGGGG